TATTAGAAAAAAAAAAAAAAAAAAGCTTTAAATGAGAGGAATAAGCATTTCAATGTACACCTGTTTTCCTGGAAGACGATATTACTTTTTTCCCTATTTTTACAGCATGGAAACATTCCTTTTGAAGACAAATCTGCTTCAATTAAAGTGGTAAGTTTATCTGACAAATTCCAAGCTGTAAGCAGGAATGTAAAATTCTCTGTTCCACATATCATTTTAGGCTTGAATTTTTTTCCCCCTCAGAGGGGACAAGCACGTACAAATCCAAAAAAAGTTAATGGGAGTTTTCAGTACCTTTTATACCTCTAATTTTTCTAAAGATCAGTTTGACAACTTTGAATTGAGGAAGGTCCTTATCAGGGTAGTTGTTTTGAACATTACCATTATGTTGGTGTGATTTTTTGCTTCCGCCTGGTTGAGATATCAGACCTTTCCCTGCAATTTTCTTTCGTTCTAGAAAGGAAACAAAGCAGTCTTTAAAACAATGTAATTTTCTGTATAGGATGAATTGCTTGCAGTTCATCTACTTCAGTACTCTTAAGTGGTTATCTTCTTTCAGATTTACTTACAAATGCTGTTAAATTGTTTTATAGGATTTTCTATGGTATCCAGAAGTTAATGGTTCCATGAGGCAACGCATCAAAACTTGGACCGAGGTATATTCTAATTATCTACTTATTTGTGAGGGGGGAGGGGTTCTTTTAATATGCATACCAAGAGATTGAGGGACATGGTCTCCTTCTGTTCCAAGTACATAAAACTTACTGCCCATAGTGGGAGTCCTGTATGTAGATAGAACTGTATTAATGTAAAAATTGAAATTCATTTGCCCAGTAAGAGCTCTGAAAAAGTATGGTACATATTGTTATAATCCCAGAACAAACTACAGCAGTTAACATAAATTTGCAAATTGGGTCTCAGATGAAAGCTAATAGAGACTCTCTTGACTCACTTGAACTCCTGAAAAATGTTAGGGATGTGGGGGTTCTTTGTCTCAGACTTACAGGTTGAGCATAACTTTCTTTTTTTTAATGCAGAAGAATAATAAGATGAGGGTTTGGCAAATCTTGGGTCTGGTGATTTGATGCGAAAAGAATCATATTCCTAACTAGACAGTAATTTCATATTTTACTTACCATTCAAGAAAGCAGAAATCTGTGACCACAAAGCCTCTATTTCTATAAATAAAATATTGGAATCAAAGATTTAAGGGAATAAACTTTTAAGAGGGAAAGTATTACACTGGTGTGGCAAGAACAGTAATCTGAACAAAAGGCAGAAGGCTATTTAGAGGTATCTGGAATGCATTAATTTGCAATATTATAATGGATGTACGTGCTGTCCTATCATGTGATTCAGCATGGCAGATATTTTGAAACCATACTGTTTAACAAACTGTCATGATTAATTACAACTTAAGCATTGTATTTCTTGATAAATAGTTTCCAGCTGCATTCTTGTCAAAGGATGCTTGCCATTATAGTGTTTCTTTATCAACTTGGAAATGGTATGGACTGATCCTGTAAAGGCCTATGATACTACTTTCATTGACCCCTTGTTAAATTTTCAAATAAACAGCTTTGTGCTTGGTGTAATGCTTTCCCTCACTTGGAAGAAACTCCCTGTAAACATCATTATCCTCTTTCAAAACCCTTCTTTTTCTAATGATTGCAGAAAAACTTGGCAGAGAATCTGTAGTATACCAGGATTGTTGCCTACCACAGTGATGATGATATCTGTTCCTTCAAGCTTCCTTGTTTATCTGCTTGCATCCATCTGTGGTCTCCTATGTTATATTTAAATTAGAAGTTTTTGGAGGCTATTTCTTTTTGTTCTGTTTTTATAGTACTTAGCATGATGGGATCCTGGTCTGTGACTGGGGCTCCTAAGTGGTACATTATACTCACATATTTATATGCTAGCAGTTTTTGTTTCACATAGCAGTTAATGTCTAGAAAATGCAGACAGCTTGCACTGCACAGCTGAAATAAGTGTGAATTATCAATGTACAGCATCCTAGAAGGAGCTGATCACGTATCTGAAAAGAGGAAACTTGAGAGCAAATTGATATGTGATTCTGAATGTATGGTGATATGTTACTTTGCACTTGGGTAGATTCTGACATGTGAAGATCTTGATGCTGTGCGTATGATTCAGCTTCTCAGTATACAGTTTAATACAGTTTATTCTTAAGTCATAGATGTTAAAAAAAACTTGTGCAATTAATTGAATAAGTAGTCTGATTTGTGAAGATTTTAAGAGCTCTAATCTGCTGTTTCTCTTGTGCCATAGGGTTCTGCTGCAAAACCTCATATAATTGTAGCAGGAGCAGCTACGGTAAGCTATGCATATAGTTAGTTTCCCAATATAAATGGATGGAAGCTGTAATAGGATAAATCTCATATGGTAGACAAGTGATGAGGAAAAAGGTGTTTCATTAGAAAAGAGCAAGTGCATATTCATCGATAATCATCATTTTCCATTGCCTTATAAGTAATTTTTTTTATATAAAGTGTGTGTGTATAATACACACACATATATATATATTTACTGTAACTTAGACTTGTGTAGTGTATGGTAATATTTTCTTACTGGTCAGTTGTTAAATGTGTTGTTTCATCTGTGCCTTGAGCCAATATAGCACAGAACCTATGAGAAATAGCGTGGGTACTTTATTCTGTAAAAATTCAATAATTTTATGAATAATTTGACCAAATGAAATTATAAATATATATTGTGGCTTAAATGAATATTCATTACCAAAATATGTACCTTGATGGTATCATCTGAAAATTTGTTTAACTTTGTAATTCACACTTACATATTTAAACCACATATTTAAACCACATATGGGCTGTTGACCTAGGTTAGTAGAGTTCACCCTTTTAGTGCAGTAGGTGATCTGGGCATACTGCTCCTGCTACTCTTATCCAGTATAGGAGAAGGAAGAAAGGATGTGTGAATGATGGCTGTAAATGTCAGGGAGGAGAAGATAGGGAGAGAGGAAGCCCAATCTTTGGATGATGGAGGAGATCAGCCTCATGGCATAGGGCAGGGAAGGGAATGTGCTGGGCTAAGCTGTTTGCTGCAGATCCCCTGTAATGCGGACCAAACCAACAGGCTGTAGGATGAGCATTTCTTGAGCTAGATGAACAATCCCACCTTGTTCTGCTGTCAAGAATCAATTAAGCAACTATGCTTTCCAAGCCTCTCTATCCCAGTATCTGATACCACTGCCTAGAGAAAAGCATCATTCTGCCTGGCCACAGCAATGTTCAGTATGATTTCTACATCATACACATCTGCTGTACAACTTGCCATAACTTAATTCTTTGGAGAGTTAATAAATGTTGTCATTCTCCAAGTATTTAGCGCACCTGTTCCAGTAAGGTTAGCCACATACCTGCATGCTAATACAAGTCAGAACAAGAGAAAAATAATACAGTGCAGTCAGCTGTCTTGCATGCAGCCCAAAGCAGGCAGATGTAATGTCTTCAATGGAGAGCTCCAACTTCTTTTAAATAAGCTGTTCTGTTGTTCAGGGGATTGGGTTTAGCTACTGGATGCTATTCTGTCCAAGGTCGTGACCTTTTACAACAGCTGCATGCCAGTGACATTATAAAATTGTATTGCCAGCTGGAGTAGACTTGTGATTGTGAGAGAACTTTCACAGGAAGTAGACTTATATCATGTAATTTGCTCCCATAAAAATTATACTAGCAACAGCTTTTGTTACATTCCTACTAAATGTAAAACCTACCCTTTTTATAATTGCTTTTCTTCCAAAAAGTCAACAGATGCAATAATATTTAAAACTCCCAAGCATTTTTCTTTAAATCTGGGAAGGAAGACCAAAGAATTTTGTAATATTTTATTAAATACTTGGAGAGGTGCCTGGATCCTTATTTGGTTCCTAGCGGTATACCAGAAAATGCCACCAGAAATCTTCATAGCCATTTCTACAGGAAGAATGTTTGCAAAATAGCACTTTCAGGAAATCTGAACAAAGAAATTAGTTTAACCTTTCATGTTGCATAGATGCTCAGTCTGGTAAACTCGCTGAAGTTAGTGAAAGCTTTGCCTGTATGAAGTATCATATTTACCTGAATCCAGGACAACTTTGAATATAAGACATCCCCCCCAATTATTAGATTCTAGACATGGAAAATTATAAATTTGTTTTAATTGTCCATGTCTAGAATCTAGTTATTGGAGGGTCCTCTTTAAATTCAATGCCCTCCCTTCCCTGCCCTTAGCCACAGGGAAAGCAGTGACTGGAGGGCACGCAGCCTGCCCCATGCCCTTTGTCCCCCTCCTTACCATTTTCCCCCAGTGTGTCTGCCCCCTGCTGCTTATGTTTGGAGCTACTCATGCTCTGTCTCTGCTGGGGGCACAGAGCACTCAGCCAGTAGCGGTGGCTCTGGCTCCAGCTTCCATCCCAGGCTGGAGTCAGGGCAGAGCCATAGGAGTTCCCCACTAACTTTTTCATGTGCCCCTTCCCTGTGCTGGCCCTACTCTGTGCATTCCCTTTTCCTGCGCTCTCCCTAAACCATGCACCCTTTCTTCTCCTGTGCTCCCCACTGCATCGCATGCCCCTTTCTCCTGTGCTTTCTCTTGTACTCCATGCTCCCCTCCCTGCACCCCCTTTCCTCACGCTCTACCCTGTGTGCCATATCAGCCACACTTGCCTTATTGGGAGCCACAGCAGTTGCTTCCCTGAACTGTTTTTGAACCTAAGATGAGGAAGTTTTTCCCCCATGCTGATTGAAGGAAAAAATCTTGTCTTTGATCTGACTAATATGGGGTGCATCTACACAAGACAATTAACTGTGCAGTAGTGTAGCGTACTGCACAGTAAGTATGTGCATCTACATGTGCATATGCTTACTGTGCAATAAGCCTTGCTAATTGAGGGTAAATTTGCTACCTGCAAATGCAAGTAGCAAATTTACTTTCAATTAGTAGTGACGTAGTCGCACTCGTGCAGATGCCTGGCCAGGAGCAAATCTGCTCACTGTCAGCCGTCCACCAGGGGGTGGCAGCTGCCTGATGCTGGGGTGGGCTCCCCAGCCTCCACCCCACATGTGGGACAGGGACTAAAAACTGCCCTGGTCAGGTGCAGATCCTAGACCCATGCCCTGATTGGATGATCAAGGCCTGGGGCTTGGAAAGAGCTGTAGGGGTGGGATAGGTCCCAGCCTCCTGCTGCAATCCTTTTGTGGGGCAGCTAGCTAGGGGTATCAAGGCAGGGAGCTGGGACCTGCCCCTCTTCTGAAGCTCTTTCCAAGTCCCCTGCCCTTGATCAGGAAGCCAGGGCTAGAAGCTCCCTGCTTCTGGGGTAGGGGGGACGTTGTCCCTGCCTTCTCAGCAGGCAGCCCCTGGGGGCAAGGTATAATGTTCCAGCCCTGGCCAGGAGACAGCTGTCTCCTGCAGGTCCCCAGGAAGTGCAGTCAATCTGCTACCATTAAGAAGCAAATCTGCTTTCGCTCCCCTGCATGTGTGGATGCCCGCCCAGGAGCATTTATTCTTGAGTAAACTGATCCCAGATCAAATGCACGTGTAGACATGCCCGTGGTGCATAGGATTTGGCTTTAAATCCTACCTGTGAATATTATTGTTACCTTAACTATATTCAGGTTAGTAAATTTAAAATCAAACAAAATCAGAATAATTTCTGACCAGGAAAATATACTTCAAGTTAACTTAAATTTATAATATGCATTTACATTCTCAGATTGAAAGTGTTTATTTTGTTATTTACTTAGTTTGGGAAAAGGAAAAATGTTTAGTACTGTTAAAATGTGGTCTGAAGGAGTAAGCTAATTTAAGAAATGTACTCAAACTAGATGCTTAAAGTGGAATTACTGTAGTAAGTTATGATCACAGATACTGATCATTTTTTATTTTTTTTATTTTCTAGTGGTCTATCAAGATACACAATGGCAGCAGTGAAGCTCTCGCACAATATAAAATCAATATCACTTCAATTGCACCCCTTTTGGAAAAATTAGCAATGAGTAGTGATGTTTACTGGGTCTTACAAGGTAAGGTAATGTTTAATAGCTAACTAAATTCTCTGAAATAAAATTTTTGCAGCATGAAAGACTTGGATTCATAAATATCTGCTTCCAAAATAAAAAATCACAATCAATTTAAGAATGTTTGTTTATTGGCATATGATATTTGGCTTACAGTAATTTTGACTGTAGCACTAAAAGCAAGAGATGAAGGAAAACCGTGTTTCACTATCTTGTTATACTTATGAAAAACTTGAAGGCAGATTAGTGGTAGTAAATTTAGAAGCTTGTTTTATCATCTTATTAATTATCTGGCATATCACTTGACATCAAACCTGAAGACTCAACTTGTTACATGATGGATATAATTTACTATTTGTGTAAGATGATTTAGAACTTAATATGACTGATTTTAACTTTAAAAAATTCAGCAGAAAAAACTGCACTTTTGCGTGACTTTTGGGCCTTTAATGATGATATTAAAATTCTTAAGTCACATTATACATGGTCTTAACTTTTTGCTTCATGTATGTATTTTTTTTAATTATTTGATCTTGAACAGCATTTCACAATGTAAATAGTGAAATACTAATTCTGTTTAAGTGAGAATAGACTATATCAATCTCATATTCCAGGAGTCTCTATAACAGACAAAGGCCTTTGCCTCCCACATCCACAAGAACAGGAAAGCAGTGCTGCAGATTTATCCCCTAGATTTAACTCTTAGGAGTCTTTCGGCTTCACATAAGACCTGGAATTCTAGAACCCACCTCCTTTGCCTAGATATGCCTATTGGGAGATGAAGGATATAAAAGTATGCAATGTGAACACCACAAAATACCTGCAGTTGTGCTGACAAGTTGGTCAGCAAAATAGACAGATGCAGTGAAGGGCAGGAGCTTTTCTAGGAATAGATCTTTTCCCCCACCCTCCCTCCCCTCCCATGAAAAAATCTTTCAGGAGATCATCTGCTTGGGGCTGGGTGCTGTTGTCTGAGGTTATCAGTGTCATCATTGCTGTTGTCCATGCCAGGTGTTATTGACGTGGGAGCTGCAAGGTTGACGAGTCGCAGCCCTGAGATCCCAACACTAATCTTGTCTTAAAGAATGACCACAGACTCAGTTTGGTGGCAAAGATTTGGCCAGGTTTATTATCTGCAAGCACAGACCCTAACACCTTTTAGCCTAAGAAGTACATCAAACCAGGAGCTAAGGCAAGGTAGTCATCCCAGCACCACACAAGTTCCCCAGGCTACTACAAAGTTTCTAGGCTTTCCAAATCTCTTTTTATACAGTGATCAGAACAAATTATTTATTGCATTCCATAATCTTGAATGTCTTAAACTGTCCTTTATCATGAGCTTGTTTTACATTCTGACCTGGGTGTTTCCGTTCTAGCCTTATCCTGGTACTGGACTATCGTATTGTGTACCACCCTCTCTCCCTCCCATCTCTTGACATGTGAGCCTTCCAGGTTTTGTTTATGTGAGGAGTTCGTGTATTGGTCAGGTTTTTTGGTAGCGCCTACTCTGATCAGTACTTTAGCAAAGCCTTTGTGTAAACAGCATATATTTATCAATGCTGCAGTGAGACCTACAGGTACTAAAGTTTCATGCTGAAAAAATGATGCTTATGGCATTGCTGTCAGCCTGTTTAATATCCATGGGTTGGTTCCATTGGTTTGCTAGTCTGTGACCCCCAACTTCCCCAGCTCTTCTGGCTTGCCTCCATAGTACATAAATACATGTGATGCTGCCTGTGGTGTTCATCTCTGTACTGGTCCAGATCCAAAGGGACAGGATAAATTATTTGCTGCTGCTGCTTAGGTTGTCATGAAACACTTGCCCACGTACCTGTTCCCACATACCTGCATGCGGATATATCTGATATGCCTCAGTCTATGAATATGAGGAGATTTATTGCATGATAATCATCCTACCTTGACAGAATAGTACTCTCCCATCATGCTAGATCTGGAAAACTTCAGATGGTGCCAAGACCAAATGGAGAGAGTGACACTGGTTCTACAGATCGTTGTGCAGGAGGTCAGAGAATCAAAGTTCATGTTGTTTTTGTCAGTGGAGTGCCTTTGCTTATAAATGAAGAAATTGTACTTTGGTTATATTGGTCTGTTAAACAACAGGCTGTCCCACTCATAAAATGAACAAGTGCTACCTAAAGGAACAGATCATTCCTGTACCCATCCAGTGCTGTTGTTTCTGGTCATAAAAACAGCTAATGAGAAATTGCATCAAAATCAAACTGTGCATAAACAGAAAATGGTTTTTTTCAGGCTGCAAGACAACTTTCTGCAAGCTTTCTCTTCAGATTCACCAACTATCAAGTTATTTTGGCCAGATATAATTTCCAAGTCTAAGAAGTGAACTTCATGCAGGGAAATATTATCATCAAATGTTAGTAAGGTTTCTTGTGTAAGAGTGCATCAAACAGTTAAAAAACAGCTTTCAGGCAGCCTTAGGTGCAGCATATATTGCTTGCCTTTTGTTGGTGGTTATGCAGTATGCTTGCAGGGATCTGTCTTGCTTTGAAATGGACTGCTGGAAGACCTGCTGTTCAATGAAAGACCAAAATAGACAATACCCTTTGTACTCTGAAGCCCTGAGGGCAAGATTCTGTTTGCTTACCCTGGCACCAAAAGAAAATGCAACAGGCAGCAATCATGGACTCCACAAAGGCTATGCTATCAGTCTTCTTTCCACAACCATCGGTCAGTGGAGCCATCTGAAAAGGTAATTTTCTATAGGTGGACATAACCTCAATGTCCCAGTCCACCTTGGAACGTAAGCAGTCATTTTGGCAGGATCATCAAGATAAGAACCATATACAAAAAATCCTGGACTCGCGAAATCTCACTGTGAGAAATGACTGGCCCATTGTAAATAGCCACAGATCCACGGGTACAGAATACTAGCATTAGAGTGGGGTATTCTTTGTATTTTCACCTAGGTCCTTCCTCCAACCACTCCTTTCTCATCTCTTTATATGCGCCTTCCTGATGAGGCATTTCTGTAACAAAGTCATTTTGCTGCTATTGCTAGGAGGTGATAAATAAGTGTGGGAACCACCTCTATTAAGAGGGTTCTTTATACTTTATAATCCTCAAGGGAAATAGAGCATGACACTTTGCCTTGATAATACTTTTCCTGGACTCGGGGTCCAAGTTTGAATCTCTGCAGGCTTCAGGATTCATACTTGCTCATACTAAATCACACTGGAAGGATCTACCAGTATAAGGTGTCATAATTCACCTCTGTTCACTAAGGTGCTTAAGTTCATGGCAGCACATCCAAGGTGACCAAGGAGAAACATGCTTTTGAATGAATTGGTGCAGACCTAGGCACTGTGATGGTTGTAGCCAAGACAAGTTCCAGAAACTAAACAACCTAATCTTGCAAAGTGTTTCTGTCACTATAATTTGTCTTACTGTGATAGATCATATAGTTTCATGCACTGTCATGATGCCACATGCCAGACTGCATTTTCCTTGTTTGCAAGACTGGCTAAAATTGGTATCTGTGCTAAGCCAACATTTCCTGGAGAAGAGTGGAAGAAATCCCATAAATGCCTACAGAGAAGTCTCTCTTGTTCCTCTTCTGCCTTCGACTATAGTGATTATGCTTTGCTGCTAGGACTGGGAGCCCATATACATAGGCTTCTACAACATAGGCCATACACTTCCAAGAGAAGTATAGCTATTTACTAACCTAATAGAACTGAGGACAGTCCACAAGGTGGGCAAGTCCTTCTCAGAGCACTGCTTAACGTGATCAGTACAGATAATGATAGGTGTAACAAGATGCATGGCTCAGGGGCCAAAGCCCAGCTGCAGGGGCTACAGGTAATAGCCTGTCTGCCTAGAAGGTCTGGGCCAGCTGACAGGGATGATTGCCTGGCCCGGGAGAAAATTAAAAGCTCCCAGAGAGTTGACACTAGAGAGGGAGGGGAGCTGAGAAGAAAGGAAACACTAAAGTACTGTGGTAAAGCCCTTGCCCTGGATAGGAGAGGTGATGGTGGGGGAGGATTGTTGATATTTTGTCTTGTTGTTTAGTTTGAGATAGGAAAGTGGGGAAGGCTGGCTCCTGGGCCTGGCTAACAAAGTAACAACCTGCTACATGTGGTGGAGAGCATGGACATTCTAAATTTAGCTCCAGCAATGGAGACCAAGAGCCCTGCTAAAATGGCTGGAAGGAAAGCAGCAGCAAGAACAGCAGCCGTTTCAATAGCTCCAACTCCAGCAGCAGCAGCAACTGCAGCAGTTTCAGAGGGAACAGCAGTAGCGACAGCAAGAGTTCCTGAAGCAGCATTTGGAGTCTAGATGGACCACCATCAAAGTTGGTGAGTCTCCTGGGGCATTTTTACATGCGTTTCCGACACAGCGCTGGGTGCTTTTAATTAGTGAGCTGCGCTAATTAAAAGCACCCATGTGTCATGTGTCTCAGTGACAGCATGCCGCCACACTGAGAAAATGGCAGTAGTACACTTTGAACTAAAGCACGTGAAACTTGCTTTAGTTCAGAGTGCACCACTGCTGTTTTCTCAGTGTGGAGGCACACTGCACTGCTGATGCATGTGATGGACTAGGCTGTCAGAATGCATCAATTTACATACTCCAGTACTCTATAAATTGAGTCTGCTCTGATGTGCTGGATTTCCAGCATGTTGGAGCAGGCTCCCCACGTGTGTAAGTGCCTCTGGATCCCAGAGAATAGAAGATGGGGTACTCGCCAAGATAGAACCTGCAGATGACCCAGATGCCTTCCTCAACTTAAGCAGGTGGAAGAGGCCTATCAGTGGCTACAAGACATGTGGACTGTGAGGGTGGCCTCTCTGTTAATTTGGGAGGTGCAGGCTGCTTACCTGGCACTGAGAGCAGATCTGGCCTGGAATTATAAAGACTCTTAAAGCTGCCCTACTAGACCAGCTGGGTCTCTTGGAGGAGGCTTATTGCTGCTAGTTTTGGCAGGAGCCTTGAGATCTGAATGCGTAACTTTGAGCCATGGTTCAGAA